ATCCCCCCGGACTTGTCTAGAAGCTTGCGCCCTCGAGCCTCGTTTAAGAAACCGGTAGTATTTATCCTAGATCCGCGCCTATCATCCGTCTTTCCTTTTTTGATTTCGATTGCTTTAAAACCAGTTATAACATTTACATGGACATTTCAGTGGGACTCTTTTGGTATAAACAATTTATTAGATCTGTAGACACGACGTGGCTTATCCTGACTCTCAGACGTCCGAAAAAGCTAAGTCAGAGGTCGCGAACGACCTTGGCCGTCTGAAAACTTGTCCAGAAGAAATACAAGTTACATGGAAATTTCTATAGACTCTTTTTGATAAAAAACGTAATGAATATTTAATCGTTGTCTAAGTGGATAAGTATTATATGGAAATTTCTGTAGACACGTCTGTGGTAAAGTATATCTGCAACGTTTGTCCAAAGGAAATTTAAGCAACGCCTGGAAATTTCTATAGACTCTAGATCTTTTGGCAGAAAATGTATAATACATTTTTTTTGTTTGAGCAAATGTATGGAAATTTCTATAGATAACTGGTGGTCAAGATTATCTGCAGCTTTTGTCCGAAGCGTTACATGGAAATTACCGTAGACTTTTTTGGTAGGGAATTTAATTGTATAAGCCATATTGCACGTTCACGCAACTGACAAAATACATGGAAATCTTCATACACATGCGACTTGAAAGGTTGCCAGGTTTTTAAGCAAACCATATCCATTATATGCTACACAAGGAATGATTTCTCTGATGTTATTTAGCTGTCTACCATTGAAGTGTGGAGACGCATGTGCCATTATCATATCGTTGTTCCTGCTAAACCAGACTTCGACGAATTCTGATGTAAAGCTCTTGAAGTAAACTGAATCAAACTAATACCATGGTAGTCGGTTTCATTACAACAAGAGCTTATAAGGTCTTAAGTCTTAACTCAACGGACAAAACACAGTTAGCTATTAAACGGACTTTACACGTTGTTGGAAAACCTGCAAACACAGCATGCCCCGTTTTCCAATTCAGCTACTTCAGAAAATACGCACTTAAAAAGTTACGTGTCATTATTTGAATAGTTACAACTTGTTCCTGTTGAACAATCGTTGCATGTAGTTGGATTATGAACTGGGGAGCTGATTCCAGGATTGCCTCAAACATTCCGAACCAAGTCTCGTTAAACATTACTGTACCACCGTCTATTTGTTCTTTACAATTTTTTCTCGACTCTTCAGGTCATACATAGCGTGACGAATACGAGGTTGATGTTGCGTAGTAAACTCTAATTTGTAAAAGTGGGGTATAGGTGTGTAAACAGTTTAAAGGGGGGAAGGTGATCCCAGCCCCCCCCCCACCCCCCCCCCCCACTTCCCTCCCCCGATAAAATCTTCAGGATTAGGATTAGGATCAGAATTCTAATGACAACTTGTAAAGGCTTTTCTTAACTTATGTAACATTCCTCTCTAGTCTGTTCACTCAGCACACTGTTCTATAAATTAAAAGTGACTTTTATTTGTATATTCAGATTTAGTTTCCAGTCTGTTGGATAACTGAAGACCGTTGTTCGTGCTTTGTTAAAAACAGAAACCGTATTAGTTTCTAAGCCAATTCGTATCAGTAACCTTATACCCAGGTTCCTCTCCGTATATACTCGACCCTCAGAGCAAGAGAGAGAGAGAGAGACCCTCGTCTGGCCTGCTCTCTCTCCCCTCCCCTCTCTCTCTTTCTCTCTCTCTTGCTCCGAGGGCCGAGAAAGGAGAGAACCCTGGGAACGAGGATATCTTTCAGCTCGTTTAGCATCTTAAAACCATACTTTACAATAGCAGCGTTTTTTAAATAGGTTATTTAACAATAATTACATTTACAGCTAGAAACCTTGTTAGGAAATACTCTAAGTTTATGAAAAATTTGAATCTGCTTTTCTTAAGCTTGTGGGGGAGGTATTTCTTCCACGAACATCCGGGACACCGAGTTCCATCCTGTGTTCGCATCAGCAGAACCGTAACCTGCGCAGTTTCCGACCCAGAATCCCACGCGCACAGTGCCTTAGTGGATTTTATCGCAGACTCCCTCGACGTGACGCGGGCGGTGCAAATTTTTTAGTCTGCTGCCAGTTCCATATCTCATGTAGACTACAGCGTCAATAGATGCTGGAGCCGAGCACTCTGCACCGTTAAAAGTGAAATACCATCGCTTGCAACAGTTGTCGCAGCCATATAGCCGAAGCTGACCACTCCAGTAGACACGCAGACTACTGCTGTCCGACGTCTTCTTGAAAATACATTCCTGTTGAAAGGAAAGAGCAATCAAATTCAAGATTACCGGAGTAACCTTTTAATCCTACTACCCACAGAGAGACAGCTCTGACTAAATTTAGAGTCTATGATATCTTAAGTTACGACGATTCAAATTACAGTGGCGGATCCAAAGGAGGGCTTCCCCTTATTTTTAGACCCAACTGAGCCAGCCCATCCCCCCCCCCCCCCCCCTATGTCAAAGTCTGGATCTGGCACTGAATTATACCTCCTCAACAATGCTTTCGTATGGTACAGTGGTACAAGGTGGGTTAAACTAACACTTTAATCTGTGAACAGAATCCCATGGTATTACCATTCAAAGCTGCTGAGGAGTGCTTCCTTGTAAAAACTTTTGATTTGCAAGATTTTACTCGATAAAATTGTGAATTTTTTGGAAGTGAAGGAAATAAATAATTAAAGAAATGAGTCACAGGGGCCACTGCCCGAACAAGACAAGACCTTCAAGTGAAATACTTTTTTTTTTTTTTTAAATAAAACCCAAGTACTGACGACCTTCTTATTCTGAGGCCAACTTAGCTTTTACCTTGACCAATCCAGAGTCCCTGCCGTCGTTCAGATTTTTATAAACGCACTGTTTCCAATTACGTGCAAAAGACCCTGGAGCCCCCTTGGGGCCTGAGGGACCTTGACTCCCAGGAGGACCTGTATCACCCTTCTTTCCAGCTTTACCCGAGAGGCCTTGTGGTCCCTTGGGGCCAGGGGGACCTTGACTTCCAGGAGGACCTGCATCACCCTTGCTTCCGAGTGGACCTGCTGGACCAGTTGACCCTGTACCTCCCTTGGGACCTGTAAGTCCCTGTTTTCCACGGGGTCCTTCATCGCCTTTGACTCCTCGTGGACCCATAGGTCCTTCGGGTCCGTTATTCCCGGGTGATCCCGTTGTACCAGATGGTCCCGCGGGTCCCGGGCTTCCTGGGATACCCGGTATGCCCGGTGCGCAGAAACAAGGAGAGTAACCACAAGAGCCATGTTGGGAATTCTGTTGAGGAAATTTGAGGGCAGACATGAAAAAAAAAAAAAAAAAAAGAATCAATGTATTATTCCTTCATTTTGAGTTAATGCACTTGGGATGTCTGTTCTATGAATAGACTTTGAAATATAACTAAATAAATAATTGACAGTAAATATTAATTAATAATGATAATAGATAGATAAAAGCAGATATAAGCTAAGTACAGAAACAAAAGACGCTTGGAGGACTCTACTTTTGGCCGCTGACACTACACAACTCTCACTCGTTTAAATATATCAAGTCCATCGTTCGTTCATTCAGTTGAGCAACAATTCAACCACTAATGATAATTTTATTATTTTTCAACTGTTCATTTCCTGTGTATTTACATTATTTGACTAGGGGACTATCCATTTCAATTATAAATTCTACCATTAACATGTATAATTAAAAGTGAAGCCTAAAACTTGTCTACATATCAAAAAATAAAATTTGAAAACGACGCCGGATGTTAGGACAATCATACTGACTCATACTTTCATTGATTCCATTTTATTTTATACCATTTTTTTCTAGCAAATGAATAATGCAATCATCGACCATTAACTTTCTCGATTAATCACTGATATCAAGTCCCGATCATCTGAAATTTCACAAATCAAACTCACCTTGTTGCTGCTGTTTTTACTATTCGCAGAACACAAAGGGATCAGCAGTAACGGTACTATCCATAACATAATGGCCGATGGTATCTTCATACAGAATAGCATGATTGGGGTATCAAACTGTGGGATGAACATATTGTGTAACAATCACCACAAACACAGTATTTTTAATTCTTCCCAGGAAAAATGAATATTTTACGTGTATTTTGCAAGCTATACTATCTTCGAGGAAAACTGAAGACTACTAGACAAGTAGTCTCTTGAAGTTATCGAATTCTTACTCTTTCGAATTACAAAAAAAAACACAAAGAAAACACAAAGAAACAAACAGATGACTGGTTACAGGAATCAATTCTACTATTTTCAGGTTTAAGAAATATAGAAGAACCAATACGATTATAATCATCTTTTGATCAACCAATTTCAGGTGGTTCATGAAAACACGACGATAATAAACTGAAAAGATGTACATCATAACAAAATAGCCCTCTCCTAGTAAAATATCTTCAGTTGAAAAACAAACATAACTGAGAAAAGTTGATAATCAAACCTGAAAGGAACACTTCAAATTGGAAAATTACATTAAGTATTTTAAGAACTGAATTTTTAGCTACTTTGCAGTAACAGTAAATCTAGGACAACTAAAATACCAACCTTGCTTGTATGGCTGCAATAGTCCAGTGTCCGCAAAAAATGATGAATGGCTTAATATTGCCGATCTTTTATGTTGCTTTGAAGTCACGTTTAGCATAAAACACGTTTTTAGCACGTTCAAAGGCTTGTTAAAAATAAAATGTCAAACAAGGCAAAATGTTCTTATTGGTTAACTCACACTGAGCTGACCAATCAAGGCGTTCGCTTAATTTAGTAAGTTGCAAGTTTGAAACATGTTTAGGGCCAGTGACGTAGAAAACATGAAAAACGACAATAATTCTTATTGGATAAATCATTTCTAGATTGACCAATGGTATAACGCGTTGCAAAACGTCTTTGTTTAGAAGAGCTCAGGTTGTTAAGCCAAAATAAGAAAACAACGCTTGTTATTAGTTAGTTTATGCGTAGCTTCTGAACTAAGACTGAGTTTACTACTAATCACAGTTTTAGTTGGTATTCAGTTTCCAAATCAAAGAAAATCCCCCCTCTTTGGACACGCTGAATTATATACTGAACTGCCGATCCCCATTACAATATTTATTACTTAATTGCGACAAACGTGATCGCATTATAGAAAAGTATGCAACCCGCTCATTGTAGCTTCCTAACGAATATTTCATTTTCACTTAAACACGACTCGAATTTTGCTTGAAGAAGAGTAAGCAGCTAAAGAAATAAGTTAACTGAATCTCGGTTAACTGATAGGAGAAAAAATTTGGAAATGAAGCCGAAATTTTAAAACAATTGTAATTTTTTTCAGCAGCGACAGGGCTGAGCTACAAAACTTCAAATATTTATTAATAAGTTCTCGATGCAAAACGAAGAGGCAACAATAAATTGATGTCTAGGCTTGGTTCTGGAACAACTGATTAGTGTTAGAACACACAAAAAAATCGCCTTGATTTGCAAATTCAAAATATTTTTTTAACCAAATTAAGTGAGGAATTGACGTGATAAGGTTGGATCGAGAGACAACTTACAATGCATAAAGCCTTTATAACACTTGTATTGGGCAGGCTTGCCTGAGTAAAATAGACCTGCAGTGAGGAAGACGGAAATAAATGCGATGTCAAAGACATTAAAAATGAAGAGAAATCGGCAAAAATACAAATGTACAAGCCTACCTTGATGAATTTTTGCCCTGGCTTCAATTTCTTCTCAACTACTCACTGGGAGTTGTAAGGGAAAACAAATTCTCGTACGAACGTGTTGAAGAACATCATGAATTTAGTGTACCGAACGATACCATTGGCTGCTAGTGGTTTACCCACTCAGCGACTCATCCCATGATATCGTGTCTTTTATTTCTGCCAAAAAAACCTGAAAAAGAAAATTATTGCCCTTTTGTAATTGAAAAACAGTTTCCAATTTCTTAAGCATTATTTTGCTATAGCTTACCAGCAAACAGAAAATTAACGTCTTTTAAGATCATCGAAAGTAAACTAAGAGAAAATTACCTTCTTTGCGGTTCTAAGCAGCTGTGTTTTGTTATTAAGCTTACCTCGGCCTCACCCTCTTTTAGAGAGCATCCCTGAACATTCTCTACACTGTCTTCTTTCATTAAATAACTTTGTAAATTATATTTTCTCCTTGTGTTGACAACTGCTGATTAATTTCAACTTTAATTTTAAGCTGACATAGACCGTTGGTCAGAAAACATTTGCCCAAAATATAATAAGCTTATCGTGGTCTTCAGAATGATTCGTTAATATTCGATGAACAAAATACCTTCGTCCGGAAACAACTGATGCCCTACGTTCTCAATTTGATTGTTTATTTTGTCTCTTATTGCGGGGCGCAAAACAAAACATAGAAAAAAAAAATGGAACGTAGTAAAATCAAACTGAGTCTTAAAAAAATTCATACAATCATCAAAGACACTCGTTGGTAAAATACTCTCCTTTCTAACGTAAATAGATAGAGAAATTGTAGGCGCTATTCGACTCTTGCCCGCCTTTGGCTATTGACACACCTTCTTGAGCAGCAATAGCTCGACTGGTCCGATTCCACTGAACGCCTTTGATCAAACTTTGGTTTGAAAATAGAAATTTTTGAATGGACACAGGTGGATGGTAATTTATTTCAGTAATACTTCTTAGATCAAAAAGAGTCTTGTGCCTAAAGTACGCGGTAATTTGCAAATATAAAAACAGCTACCACCGTGCGAGCGGTTCTTGTAGCTCCCTTTTTCATCCACCGCCTCGCTAGTGTTGTTAGCCGACAGTTCTCAGGGTTTAAAAAGCGTTAATTATGACAAAGTTTTAGAATTTCATGCCCTTGCCAGTCCAGCCAATTTTCACGCTGATGTAGAACTATAATTGCAGTTCTTAACATGATAAAAGGAAATATAAACTGAAATGGACTTATTTTCGGCACTTTTCTAAAGGATCTCTAAAGCTAAACACTGTGGCTTTGCAGCTGGCAGTTTGGCTACGTGTTGCGTGTTGTTACGGGCTGTCTCAAATTTATTGGCTTCAGCATTCTTATATTACACCAAACTTCGAAAATTGCTTTAAGCAGTAAAATTTACATATTCTGATACAGGCTAATTGGCTTACAAGTAGCTACTTATACGGCACATGGAACAAAGTATTGACTCCGCAGTTGCTGAAACCATGTTTTATGTTCAAGCCTCTCCGCATCATCGTAAAAGCTAGTTACCCTCTACTTGCTTTAATAAAACTGCACACTAACTTAAATTCATTGTCACCCAACGCGATAAAAAACTATAAATTTATAAAGGAAATGATGTTGCCAAGCTTTATTTATTTATTTATTTTTTCTTTTTTGGATAACATATCATAGTGAACATAGCGCCATTAAAAGAAATTTGTGATTTTCTCATCAGAGCGCGCGCCAGTTTTTAAGACATCTGGACAAACATAGACACCGCGGGCGAAACTTCCCCTTATGAATAAACACAAGCTCACAAAATTATAGCATCATCAATCGCTTCCTCTAAAAATTGATACATGTTTTGTCCACTTGTTTTGTCTACAGGGTAGTTCTGACGAAAGTGGCTCGCCTTTTTTAGTTTTTTTTTTTTCAAATTTTAATTACGCTGTAAAAGTTTTCGTAAAAATTCTTAGCTAGGACTGGAATTTTCATATTTTGCCTATTTGCATAACATGTAAGAAGCCAAATTAAGAAAGCCTTCCTCGCGAGTTTGCCGCTAATGGAATGTTGTATATAGAGGGATGGTACTTTGATTATATTTGCCAAATTTTTTTGGCAAAATTTAACAATATTTTACGTTACTATATTAAAGAATAAAGTCAGTTTTACCTTGAGGTAATAGAAGATAATAGAATGGATATCGTATAAATGTCGTGGGCACAATACTCTAAAAGACCAAAGACGAAATAGGTTCATAGATTAATCTTAATGTGAAAAGATTCACCATAATCAAATAACACAACGACTGTGAAAAAAAGCAGCTTACCGTTGAAAATGTCCATAATATCCCCAGCCTCTTTCTCTCATTGCTAAACCAAAATAATTTTCCATTTCGCTTTCTTTGCATGTAATGAGGTTCTTGTCAGATCAAGTTTGAAAAGAAATCTATTAATTGTGTTTGTCATGACTTCTTATTTGACAGATAGCTGTCATTTATATCAAAACGGAAGAAATAATCACCGATTACTAATTCCAATAAATTTGAATCTTCTCATTAAAATTTAGGAGTCGCTACCTAATGTAATGTAAAAACGCGTTGTGATTTATTCCAAGTGTACTCCCTCTAATCGTTCTAATCGTACAAGAAAGCAATCAATTCCCCCACCCCCACCCCCCCGTCCATTATTTGTTAGAACACACTAACAGTTTAATGTGCACTTTATTTCCTTGTTATACGTAATATGGGATAATGCCGGTGAACGCCCACATTTAGGGTGGTAATGTATGTAATTATTTATTTTATTTTGTAGCGTTGTAAGAATTCATTCCGTATTAGGTTTTTCATTCATCTTTAGTCCCCAATTACAACGTTTAAAATGTTTTGTTTCGTGACGAATGTTTTGTTCCGGGAGACACGTCGCTTTCAATTTGCCTCTCAGCGGAATATTAGTTGGTAACTGCGCTTTATTAACTTCGGGTTATGTGTCACTGATTATTTCTGTTTCTAACTCACAGAGCGTCGCACAAGCACGAAAAAGATAATCATAAAAAACGTGATCTACAGAAGTAGGCGATGAACAAATGTATGCGCAATTATTATTTTTAAATTCTTTATGTATTAAATAATCATTTTCGATTGAAATAATTTGGGTGTTTGTTGTGATGTCACAGTTTTTGAAGCCACATTGCGGGAGACGATGTCGTAATGGCGGAAGGATTTGTGTTTCAAAAAAAGAACTTTAATTTTGACCTACGATGTTTGTGAAGTTTTCTTACTGAAACCAGTTGTTTAGTGGTAGTCTCCAGGTAACTGTAATTCAAAGTGTTCTTTCGCTTTTGAGAATAACTACAGCGCTGATTACTAC